AAGGACGAGGGGCGGGTGGTAGGAGGCCACCAGCCACCTCGGCCTCGGCCTGCAGGGTGAGGACAGGGTTCTCCAGACTCTCTCATGTCACGGCACCCGACATGAGGTTTCCCTTTGTTTAAGATTCACATCCCAGGCAGCCGCTGAGCCCTGGTTCTGCTGAAAACCCCCATCATCCCTGTTTCCATCTCCGCTCGAAATCCCTCAGACAGACGCCCAAGGGCAGCAGTGATGCAGCCAGGGGGCCCGGCACCCGGCCCTTTGAGCTTGGACACTCCAGTCCCGTAGCTGAGATGCATGGGTCTGCTGTACCCCGAACATTGTTAACACTCATGAAAATCAAGTGCCAGGCAACTGCGGGAGCCCCAGGGACAGGCCGGGCCCCCCTGGGTCAGCCTGGGCACTGGCCATCGGCCAGCAGCCAGGCTCAGGGCAAGCCTGGGCCCTGCCGGTGGCCCCACGAGCAGCACAGAGCCAGCCCTCTGCCCAGAGCCCGCGGTGTCTCCTTGCTGGTGTCCCGTGCCTGTAAGCAGGAGGCCGTGTGCCCCCCACGCCTGCAGCTCCTGGACCCCCGGGCTCCCTGTCCGGCCAGGACACGTCGCCCTCTCCACACCTAGCCTGCCCGCCACACGTGCTCCCACCTCTGCCCCCATGGTCCAGGCTGACCTCCCACCCCGGGCTGTCCTGAGCTGCCCCCTGGCAGGCTGGTCATCCGACCTGATCCCCACGGGGCACTTGGTGCTAACGTCTCGGGAATCCCGTGTAATCCAGAACATTCCACCCCTTTGACCTGTGGAGACGCCCCCAGGCTAGCTGGCCACGGAGGGTCCCTCTTCAGGGTCCACCTGACAGCTTCCCTGTGCGTCTGATTGTCCACTGCGCCAGGCTTCCTGCAAGGGAGCGCGCAAACCTGAAGGCCCTTCGTGGGGCAGCTGTGGCGGGGGCGCAGCAGGCGTCAGGGATGCCACGGCGTCCAGCTGACCCCCTCACGGTCATCTAGGCCTGAGCAGTGGGCTCTGAGATGGGCTGATCCCCTCAGGGCGGCCTCTGCAGCGTGAGGCTTCACCCCTCTGCCCAGCAGCCGGCCAGGTCACCACCAGTGAGTCTCTGTCCACACCCGCACGGGGTGCTTTCCAGGTTGTGTCCTCATCCAGACATTCCCAGGGGCTCTCCCTCTCCACAAAGGCCCTGTGGCCACTCAGGCCCAAGGACACCTGCGTGGTCATGGGTGGCTCAGAGGACTCTACAGGTGTGACGGTGGACCTGAGAGGGCAGGGGCCCAGTGCAATCGGGCTCCTACAAGAGGGAAGGTCAGTGTGAGGGCCGTGGGCACGAGGGTGGCATCAGAGGCACAGAGCGGGGTGGGAGACCTGCACTGCTGGCTCTGAGGACACAGGAAAGGCCAGGCATGGGCAGCCCCCAGAATGGACTGCACCCTGGAGCCTCTGGAAGGGGCTGGTCACCCAGTCCCTGGATTTAGCCCAGAGAGACTCTGCCCGGGGCCACCAGCAGGACCAGCAGGAGCATGGTGCCCTTGAGCCCAGCAGGAAGGAGACAAAGCCCCCTCCCTCACCTGGCTCACTGCCCCTCACCCTCCCAGAGACCCCCGCTCCCCGCAGCTGCCCCGAGGGTCCCCAGATCCTGGGCTCCCTCACAGCTGCAAAGCCGGTCTGCTGAAGGTGGCCGTCACTGGGCCCAGAGCCAGGACCTGGGGATCTGGAGGCCGCTGCTCAGCACCACAGCAGTGGAGGGCACCCGGGGTGTGGGTGGCTTCCTACTGTCACCAGGAGGCACGGACTCCACAGAACTGTCCTCCAGACTCAGCCCTGAGGGAAGAACTGCCGGGACAGTGCCGTCCTCACCCCCAAGGAGCTGGACAGTCCACCGCCTCAGCCTCTCAGGGGCAGCGCAGGAAGGAGCTGCTGTCCCCTCACTTGCTGACCGAGGGCTCTCACTGCCTGCCTCGTTCCTCCTACGTCAAATCCTGGTTCCCGTCCCTGGTATGATGTGGTACACAGAATGTTAAAAATATCACATCCCAAGTCACCATGGACAGCAAGAGGACCTGGCGACC